CCTTCCTCTCCCCTCCTATCTGGTTTCTTTCAATTTTTTCCTTTCTCTCTTTCTCTTCCTCCTTCCAAAGGCTCCTCCATTCCTTCTTCCATTTTCTTTAGATAGTTGTTATGTAGTGCAGGCTAGTCTCAAATCTGTGATTCTCTGCTCCAGCCTCCTAAATATTAAGTACAGATGTGTGCATCACACTTGGCTTCTCCTTGAAAGTAAGACATAAAGAGCGCTGCTGTTCAGATGGTGTGTGTGTGTGTGTGTGTGTGTGTGTGTGTGTGTGTGTGTGTGTGTTATGGGGCAGACTGACTCAGAGAGGTGGAGGTCATTTCAGGTGACCTCAGGTAGCAAGGAGAGGTCTCCAGGTGACTGTAATAGCTAAGTTGTGCTCATTTCCCATCAAGAACAAAATGGCTCAGGTGTCAGCCTCATGGTGTATCCCTCACTGTCATCAATCCCACAAGAAAGGGCAGGGAGAGTGTCATCTTGTCTCCTCAAGCTCTGCCCTCTGGGGCTTTAGATGACTAGACACCCACCAGACAGACAGACTGGAGACTGTCTCATCTGGGTGCCCGGCTGCTGGCCATTCAAGCAGGGCCAGCTGGGCTGCGGCTGGCTTTGAACTTCTCCATCTGAGGCTTTCCTCAGGACTCAAGGTGGAGTTGATTCAATGGAGACAGAACTGTGTGAGCTATTTTCCTAGGTTCCCAGGAAGGGAGGCCTCTCTGGCACTACGGGCAGCAGGGTTGACGACAGGGCCACCACCAGAGGGGGCTGCTTTCTGAGGCTCACTTCCAGAAGCTGTCCACAGGCTGGACCCACATCCTCTACTCAGAAGGGTCTTGGGCCAAAACAGGACATGGCAAGAATCCTGTTACTTGATCCACTCAGAAATGCTACCTTGCATCCCAAGGCTAGATGTATAGGATGGGCCTGGCAGCTTCAGAGTTCACATGTAGATGGATCTAGCCCTGGACAGACTTGGAAGCAGCTGGTTTATCCTGGTGTTACCACAGTGCTCTGATGCAGGTCCCAGGTGGGCCTGGGTCCTACCTTAGCCATGAAAATCAGGTAAACAGAACAGCATTTAAGATGCTGTATGGCATATATATTCTGGGGTCCCCTTTCATATGCAAAGTATATCTCAGTGTGATGTGGCTTCAGGTGAGGATGAGGTTCCCACAGGAAGGACCCAAGCCTTGTAGCCACTGACTTTGAAAAGTTTCCCTGGTATTTTAAAATCTTATATTTTGTAAACATTTGGAGAATTAGGGTATCTAAGTTCTGAGACTTAGCAGTGGGGGCCATGAACAGGAACTGAGAACCTGTATGGCCCGTCCTCTAGGCCACTCCACTCACTGACGAACATTTTTGGTCACAGTGTGATGTCCTTTAACATGGATGTTTCAGGTTCCTGAGCACCTTCCTGTATGGTCAGTAAATACCTGTGAACTGACTATAGTTTGTGCCAAAGGAGATGAGGCCCAGAAGGTACTAGGGCATGAGCCAGAAAGGAGGAAGCTGAGGCAGGAAAACCCAAGTCTGTTACTTTCTCCTCTGGACTCCTCCCTAGGGATCACCTGCTGGATTGCCCTGTGTGCTGTGGAGGTGCTCCCTGCCTGCCCTTTCTCCTGCACATGTGACAGTCGCAGCTTGGAGGTGGACTGCAGCGGCCTGGGCCTCACCACTGTGCCCCCGGATGTGCCCGCTGCCACCCAAAGCCTTCTGCTCCTGAACAATAAACTGAGCGCCCTGCCCAGCTGGGCATTTGCCAACCTGTCCAATTTGCAGCGGCTGGACCTGTCCAACAACTTCCTGGACCAGCTCCCCGGGTCCATTTTCCAGGACCTGGTCAACCTGACGGAGCTCCAATTGCGGAACAACAGCATCAGGACCCTGGACAGGGACCTGCTCCAGCACTCCCCGCTCCTTCGCCACCTGGATTTGTCTATCAATGGCTTGGCCCAGCTGCCCCCAGGGCTTTTTGATGGTCTCCTGGCTCTGAGATCCTTGTCCCTCCGCTCCAATCGTCTGCAGAGCCTCGACCGGCTGACATTTGAGCCTCTGGCGAGTCTGCAGCTGCTTCAGGTTGGGGACAACCCGTGGGAGTGTGACTGTAACCTTCGGGAGTTCAAGCACTGGCTGGAGTGGTTCTCCTACAGAGGTGAGCCCTACCACCCACCCCACCGGTGTGAGGAGCTGGGGTGAGGTCAGGGGAAAGAAGAACTACATCCCCCACCCTAAATATCAGTACTTCCCTGCAGGTAGGGAGGCCAGGCACTGCTTCCCTCTGCTCATTAAGACTCACTAAGGGCGTACTGTACCTTTGCCTCCCTTTCTTAGGTTTCCATGGGGACTTAGAGACACACACGGTGCTTTTTCTGTGCTCTCTGTCCCACTGGTGTGCTTCTGGGGCTTCCCTGCAGGACAGGAAGGGAAACAACAACCTGTCCTGGGGACAATAAGGCCTCCTGCCTCTTACATGAGGGTGGAACGTAACTGAAACCCACAGACACCACCATGTTCCTAGGAAGGGGGTGCCAGCTTTCTGTCCCAAGAAGTTTTGACAGAAAACTTAATAAGCACCTGGTTTCAGTTTTGCTTCCTTTCCCTTCCCTCTCCTTTAAAAAAACGTATTATTTATTTATTTGCACACATGTGTGCATGTGCATGTGTATGTGCACATGCATATGTATGCACATCTGTGCACGTATGCCCCAGAGCACATGTGGAAGTCAGAGGGCAGCTTTGGGAGTTGGTTCTTTTCTTTCACCATGTAGGTTCCAGGTTATCAGGGTGGTCAGCCTTACTCATGGCCCAGGCTTGGGACTCACTGTGTATTCCAGGATGAACCTAAACTCCGTGAGGTTTCTTCCTCAACTTTAAAAAAGCTTTATTTATTTACTTTATGGGTATGTGTGTATTCCCAACTATATTATATGCACCACATGCATACAATGCCCTACGAAGCCAGAAGAAGGTGTCCCCTGGAACTAGAGTTATAGGCAGTTATGAGCAACCCAATATAGGTGCTGGGAACTGAACCCAGGTCCTCTACAAGAGCAGCAAGTGCTCTTACCTGCTGAGCCATCTCTCCAGACCCTTCTCCCTTTCTTAGCCCGAGAAGGTTCTATAGTGAACAAATGAATTGATCTAATGAATGCTTAACCAGGCTCACACCTGTAGTCCCAGCACTTGGGAGGTAGGGCAGGGATGGAATGGGAGGCTGAATAAATAAGCACAGTGTTTAAAAGTGCCAGGTCTTGCCTGAATTCTGGCCCTGCCACCTACAAGCTGTGTGGTCTTGAGAAGTTAGTTAACATCTCTGTAAAAGGGGAGAAGGTCAATCATGAGACTTAAATAGGACAGTGCATATGAGCTCTTTTGAAAAGTGCCCAGCGTAAAGGAAGTACTCGGTGGAGCGCTGGCTCACTTACTCATTTGCTGGTGGAATTTGTAAAACCAAGGGCTCACAGTTAAGACTCAGCCAGCGCCCAGCACAAGGCAGCTACTTGGTGTATGTGGAATTAACAATCGGTGTTGAAATTCTGAAAACAACACAATGTGTTCCCTTACTCTTACCCCATTCATTTCCTATCCAGCCACTAACTCAGTGTTTCCATGCTACTCGGATGCATTAATTAAAAACATTTTAAACTGTAAAGTGCTTTGAGATGTTAGTCATGACGATAATTCTGATTCTGAAGTGGAGAAATGATTAATGCTGTTGTCTAGTTCCCAGTTTACAAATACCTTTTTGTGAACATTATCTATTTTAATCTCTCGAGCAGCTAATTGAGGTAGATATCCTTATCTTGCAGCTAAGAATATTCAGACATAATTAAGTAAGTTAAATAATTTCCAGGTGACAACACAGCCAGATTCAATCTCGGGTCTCTGGTGCAGGAAAATGAGGTCACTCCCTTCTCACTCCCCCAATGGCTCTGTGTCATTCTAACCAAAGGTGGCCTTGGTTACATGCTCAGTGCAGGGCCTTTCCAGAGCCACCCAGGTGGAATTAAAGACCTGGTGCTGGCTGTAGGGAGCATCCTTGTCCTTAACACGGCAGGCCGGAGCCAGTTTCCCAGACCCCATCTTCAGCCTTGCTCCCCTTAAAAAACCAAACAAAAACCTCAGTGTTTCCATCAGCATCCTGAGCATCCTGGGGTAAGATGGATGTCTGTTGTGAGATTGGACTTGAAGAAGCTGGGCTGGGAAGGGAGCTGGAAGTGATGTAGCCGAGCCTCTCTAGAAGCTGAAAGAAGGCCTGACTCCAGCTCCGACTTCCCAGGGGGATGTCAGGTTATAGTTCGTCGTCCTGGCTCACTTACCCTACCAAGTTAGGCACTTATATTCTACCTCTGCCCCGTCTGGCCTCCTTAGCGTCATTGAAGGTAGTTTGGTGGCCTGTCTTATCAGCTCCACTCTTCTGTGTATCCAGGATTTCCTCCCTAGAAATCTCTGTGCTAGTACACCTGACAAACCTGGGCGGATGCCCTCTTCTTGGTGTTCTCAGGCCATCAAAGCCCTGTGTAGAGGAGTGGACGAGGCAATGGCTTTGGCTTTTGTTCTCTTTGTGAGAAGGAACATAGGCCAAGGTACTGTGTTGAAAACAGTGGCAAGGGTTCACAGACACCAGCGAGCAGTTGGGTCCTGGGCAGAAAAATAGATGTACAGTCTGGGCAGGGACGTGACTCGCTGTACCAAAGCCGTGCCCTGAGCATGCCTCCAGCTGGAACTGCTGTCCTCCTGCAGGTCAGTGTGACCTTGGAGGGACAGGCTTGAATGAGATGGATGTGAGCTTCTCTGTGAAGTAAAATTAACAGCAATGTCCATGTTCAGTGGCTTTGGGTGGCCTCCTCTGTGACATATATCTCTCATAGCCCTTAGTCCACTGGTACTACCTCCCCTTACTCTTCCATAATCAGGATTGACTACATTACTGTCAGGGTTGTACCTTTTGGGCCTTCCCATTTGGAGGACTAGGAGGAGGGGAGGTCACCTCAGTTCCAGATGCCTGCTCAGCACCTCTTTTTTTTCCCCCGGATGCAGGGGGTCGCCTGGACCAGCTTGCCTGTACACTACCCAAGGAACTAAGGGGGAAGGACATGCGTGCGGTCCCCATGGAGATGTTTAACTACTGTTCCCAGCTAGAGGATGAGAACAACTCTGCTGGGGTGGATGCTCCAGGGCCACCTTGCACCAAGGCTAGCCCAGAGCCTGCTAAACCTAAGCCAGGGGCTGAGCCTGAGCCCGAGCCCAGCACTGCCTGCCCTCAAAAGCAGAGGTACAGGCCCGTGAGCGTGCGGCGAGCCATCGGCACGGTGATCATCGCGGGCGTTGTGTGTGGCATTGTCTGCATCATGATGGTGGTGGCTGCTGCTTACGGCTGCATCTATGCCTCCCTCATGGCCAAGTACCACCGGGAGCTCAAGAAGCGCCAGCCGCTGATGGGGGACCCCGAGGGTGAGCATGAAGATCAGAAACAGATCTCTTCCGTGGCATGAGAGCTGTCTGTGTGGCCCAGGTAGGACAGCAAGGAGACTCCATGGGACTGCTACCAAAGGGCTGCCCTTCCCTCCATCACAGGCCCTGCCTCAGCCTGACACTGGTACTGCCTCCCTCAGCTCCCTGGCCCTCGTCTGCCCTCCAGTAGAGCAGCCTCCCAGTCTTCTTTCCGAGTTTCTAGAAGCTTCCCTTGGCCAAAGGTTCCTGTGGAAGGCCCTCTCTGGGCCGCTGGTCTTTGGAACACCTGAGCTTCCCTGCAGGCTTCTGGCCACAGGGGAGAAGGAACTTACACCAGAAACATGTTCTGCATTGAGCACGTCCTCCCGCCCAGGGCCAGCTCAGCTGGTGACCCTCCCTACCTCTTGCTCATTCCCACTTCAGTCTGCATTAGGGCCTGAGAGGGAGGGACAGGGGAGCCAGAGGCAGATTTCTGTGACTCCTTTTGAAGCCAGAAAGATATTCTTAGGTCCTTGCAGTGTGAAGCTTGTCCAGCTCTCAGCGGCTGGTGCCTAAGTGCAAACAAACACCCCCCAGCCCTGTGATCTGGGTCCAGTGCTTAGAAAAACCAAAGTGACTATAATGTCTTCCTTGGGTGGTCCCTTGGGTGGTCCCATTAGGTCCCTTTATCTGCTGTAGACTCCTCTGACTACATTGCTCCAGGTTTATTACTTTTATGTTTTTGTTTTAGTGTAGGGTTTTGAGACAGGGTCTTACTCTACACACTAATTCACTGTCACACACAGGGCATCGCTAAACGAGTCCCACAGACCAAAATCACACACACACACACACACACACACACACACACACACACACACACACACACACACATGGAGACAGAGTCCATGAGAACGTGGGGCCGAGGCCCGCTGTCCCCTCAGCATGGAGGTCACAGTCCCTCTTACTTCCTGACTACAGTCTTCCCATGTCATCAGGGGTTAGGTCCTGGACAAAAACACAGGGATCCTTTGAGACCCTCTAAAGTGGGCCAAAGCGTGCTGCTGGAGGAATTGCCCATTGCCATGGCAACCCTAGCACCTCTCCTGCTAGGTTTACCAGAGATGTAGGAGCTGTGTGTGTGTATGCATGACAGGTTCCAGGCCTCTGGGAGCTCACTTGCAGACCCCTGGGTATGCCCGGGAAGCTCCACCCTGCCAGGTCCCAGGCACACCCAGCAGTTTCCACTCCTGCAGCCTGCAACCTCACTTCCGTTCCTCTGCCATCTGCATCTTTTGTTCATGACCTCAAGGCTGGGTCTGGGCTCTGCTCTGAAATTGGTGGTTCACCTTAAGGAGAGCAGATGTCAGGCAGTGGGTCGTCGATGAGGCTGGCTGCCTTCAACACATTCCCAACAGACTGCAGGAACAGGAACAGGATGGCTACATTCTGTTCAGAGTCCTCAGCGACGGGGCTTCCTTCCCCAGGGGTTCATGGGCTGGTGTCCTGGGAGCGTGCAAATAAATGCAGCTGGGCTGTCCAAGCTAAACCGTGGCTGCAGTACTATCTGGAAAGGAGACTTGCCCCCTGGGCTGTGCACATTTTCAGGGTTGCTGCTTCTGTTCTCAGCTGCCCCCTCCTTAGAGACTGGTCTCCCTCTGCAGCAGATGCCAGGCTGATACCCTGCCCTGAGAAGGGTGTTGGTGGTAGCCAGAAAGAGGCCAGCTAGACCCTGAGGCACCGAGGATACGTCTATGAGGGCATCGGGGAAGCCTTTTCTTCTCCCACCCACTCTCCTAGCAGGGGTGTGCACTGGGAGTCTCAGGAGAGCTTTCAAGGTTGTTCCCTGGCTGGCAGACAGAGGGCACAGACTGCCACTCAGGATCACAGGGTCCTCTAGGCCGGGCCACAGTCTTCCTTCCTCTTTTGGCTGGCGGGCCAATCCCAGAGCTGGGATTTTCTAAGGGCCTGGGGGAGGGAGGCTGTTGTCAGTGGTGATATCTTTAGCCTGAGACAGAAGATTTTTAAAGGCAAAATTATATTTCTGGTTTGTTGTTTCAGAAGACCAATAAAGACTATTTTCCTATGTATTTCCTTGCTTTATTGGGTGGGAGGGGATGTGGGCATTGGGAGAATGGTGCCCTGTCTCCCTGCTTTGCCAGGCAGCCAAGCCATTTGCAGAGGAATGTCACCCTGATGCAGAGAGCTCCATGTGACAGATGGGCCCCCTGCTCAGTACCCAGGACCTCAGGGCTGGGAGGGATGGGAAGGCAGGACTCGGTAGGACATCCTGGGTAGGACTTGGCTCAGGACAAGGGTGATAAGCCCTGGGCAGGGCTGAGCTGGGATTCTAAACCTATCCATGCTCCAGCCTGGCAGTAACAAATGTGAGTCTCAGGGAAGAACAAAGCTTGTGGAGCAGAGGTGAGGTGAACACACCTTGCTAGTCTCTGCAGCCAGGGCGTCCATCCAGCTCTTGACCCATCTGTCCTGGCAGTCAAGGGCAGATGAAGACCCATGTGGCACGAGGCTTGCATTTGCATGGGAGATGGACTGTGTTTGCCCGAGGACTCCTGTCTTGCCAGGAGGTGGGGAGATTGGTTAAGGGCTGCCTCTGTTACCTCGCTTTTAGTAGCCTCACCTGGGGTCTGTGGGGCCTTGCTGGAGTTTCACAAATGCCACCTTGGCCTTTTGGGACCCACTACATAAGCACCCCACAGCTAGGCTTATGAATATGCCTCTCTCAGCCAGTGGGGCTAGAATTAGGGGTGCAAAGCAGCTGTGCAGTATGGGGAGAAGCAAGAACGCCTCTGGGGGTGCTGCTCCAGCCCTGGAGGAAAAGCTTGACTCCCTGCGGCCCGGTTACCCCTACAGCAGGACTGGCCTCTAGCCCAGTGGTTCTGAACTCTGTCTTCAAGAGATTCACGTGGAACCTTCTTCACCTTGGAAGCTTTCTTGGGCTGACAACTCACTAAGTCAGGAATGGTCGTCAGAGAGATATGAACCCTCAGGGTACACAAAGCCATGCAGCCAGGGAGACTTTCTTCCTAGGTGTGGTCAGAGGGGGGGTAGGGTGGGGTGGGGGGTCACCTTCCTCTAGTCCCTCTGTAGCAGAGCCAAATCTGGCCTCCTCTGAGGCCCCTGCAGAAGCAGGACAGCACAGCACACATTGCCACTGAAGCCCAAGGCACGGGTCATAGAGGGAGATGCACAGAGGGTAACAGTCCTGTGTCTCCAGACCCCTAAGGTGACCCAAGCCTCTTCCAGACAGCAGGACAGGTCTCTGACACAGCCCTTGCTGACACACCATGCAGCATGCCAGCCCGTTCTGGGGAGCACCCAAGGCCCCAGCTCCCAGGGCCAGCAGACATGCCACCTACCCCTCCTTGAGCTGAAGGTCCCAGCTGGTCCCAGGATCGGGGAGGTTGTGCCAGGGACCAGGGAAAGGAAAATACAGGATGAGATGCAGGTGAACTCACAGTGTCAGGTCTCTAACGCCTCATGCTTTTTCTGTCACAGCCAGGCACCCTGAGCGTCACAGGGACTGTCTGAAGGAGTTCAACCAGAGGCACTGGGACATGGTTTCTATGGCAACCCCTCCTGGCTCTAACTCAGCTCTGAGTTAAAAATTAAATCAGATAATTGGGGAGTGTGGGGAAGCACAGCCAGCAGCCTGGCCTCACATCCCTTCTCTCCTTTCCCAGGTCGTCAAGGTAGCAGGGCCAAGAAGGCCACCTCCAGGCAGAGCAAGGTAGCCCCGGGGCTGCTGAGGCTAAAGCTAGGGAGGATTTTAGGGAGATAAGGGCCTCACATCTGGGATCAGCATGCCATGGCTCTGGAAGAATTGCACTGTGAAGGGCTGCTGGGATGTAATACATCCCGTCTACAGGGTTGGAGTCTCCTTACAGACTGCCAGGGATGCTGGAGTGGACATGTCACCCAGCCACCTTCTACCCCAGCCCAGAAGGGAATACACAGGAACCCTGACTCTGGGTAGCACAGGCTCCCTGAGGAAACTCAGGCCTGCCCCTCCTGTTCCTCCCTCTAGATGCTCACAGCCTTGGGAAGAGGCCAGGGTTCTGCCTTCCACTGACCTCCTATCTGGCCAGGCCCCTGGGGTATGAGACAAGTGCCGGGTACCCCAGTTTCACCAGGCTGAGTGACCATGGTTTGCACAGCTTCTTGAGGAATGTGGAGGGCATGATCACAGAGGCTCAAAGAGGAAGACAGATGCTGAGTCCTGTTGTAGCCATCAAGAAACTGCAAAGTCAGGCCAAGCTTGGGGGGGGGCACTGGGTACTTTCCTTCTAGAAGCAAGCGGAGGCAAACTCAGGACAGGAGTGACTCTGGGTCCCAAAGAGAGGTGGCCTGGGCCCAGGTTCTAGCTTTACTACCAGCTGTGGGACTTTGGGCAAATGACTGCTCCATGCCTCAGTTTCTTCGTCTGTGATATGGCCTCCCCTGGTTACCCCGAATTCTAGGTAGAAAGTGCAGAGTCATGAGCCCCGGTCTAGGCTCAAGGTAATGTCTTAGGAAAGCAGGGTCCCAGGGATAGGATGGAAGCCTGGCTTGTCCCTGCCCTGTGTGACCTTGAGCAGGTCTCTTAACCTCGCTGAGCTTCATTTTACTCGGTGAATCTTTCTGGTTTTTATAAACAAAATGACATAAGCATCCACTTCCGTTCCCCGGCTTCTCTCCTGGGAAAATTTAGAATCCCTATATCCAGGGCAACTTATTCTTTCTTCCTGTGTGTGTGTGGTGCTGGGGATGGAAATGGGCCTCAGGCCAGCTAGACAGGTGCTCTAGCCGAGCCAGCTCCGCCCTGCCAGCCCTCACCTTGACATTGCCTGGTAGCTCCCACCACAGTGGTTCAGGGTAGCGCCTACCTGCTGCAATGGCCGTCTTCCCATCCACTGTCACAGCGATTGCTGTACTGGCCCTCACCACCACTGGCTTGCCTGGGCTGTCTGGGAAAATGAGAATTATCATTATTCTCTGTGCCTGCAGGGCGCGCTTGTGGGGGTCGGGGGCAGGGGCGGGCTTAGAGTGTGAGTCTACCTCTTTCTTGGAATAGGAGGCAAATAGGAATTCCAGCATAAGTGCTCCCTAAACTAGGCAGGGTGGGGGAAGGGTCCTGGTGCTGCCATGGGCTGTTGCTGTCCACCACCTGTCTTTCAACTGTGTCCTGACAGTCGTCCCTTGCTGTCCCCCCATCTGAACAAATCCGAACTCGCCAGATCAGTCCTTAGCCTCTGCCAGCCTGAGCCAGTTGATACTAGCATCATGGTGACACCGTGACTTTGCTCCATTTCCAGGCAGCAAACCCGTCTGCCGGCTGCCGGCTGCCCCTGCTTAGTTAGCTCCTTGGTAGCTGCGGCAGGACCCGGCCACAGCCGGTCTTCCCACACCTTGTCTTATCCTGGTTTGTTTTCCTGTGGCTGCGATAAACACCACAACCAAAAGCAGCCTGGGGAGGAGAGGGTTTAATTCAGCTTGCACTTCCAGGTCACACACCGTCACCGAGGGACCGGTGACGTCAGGGCAGGCAGTCAAGGCAGGAGCAGGAAGCGGAAATGAATGGAGTGATGCTGACTGCTGGCTTGCTCTCTAGAGCACTCCCTGGTCTGTGCTCAGCCTGCTTTCCTGCACAGCTCAGACCCACCTGCCTGGGGATGGCACTGTCCACAGCAGCCTGGGCCCTTCTACAGTTGACAAGATTGTGCCCCTGATCGAGGCCAATCTGACCGAGGCTATTCTTCAGTTAGGGTTCCCTGTCTTCCCAGGAGACTGTATGCTGTCAAGTTGACAATAAAATCTACCTGTACGGGGGCCAAACCTGCACCTCGTGTTGAGGGGCAGGCTGTAAGCAGCCCAGGCCTGGGTGGTGAGTGACCCTGCCTTGCCTTTATGAGTCGCAGAGAGGTGACAGTGATGGCCCTGCTCAGGAGCCAGATGCAGTGGATGAGCCACCCCGGCAGCTAGTGACGCATCTGTGAGGGATCCTAGCTGGCGCCACCCAACTCAACACCACAATGACTTTTCCATTTCACTGCTGCCCTTCTACAACTTTCTGCCAGCTTCCAGGAGGCCTGTGTTGCCTCCCACTTCTTTTAGAAGAACCAGGCCGTCCTGGGAGCAAGATTAAGAGGGTGGTGTCAGCTCTGCATGAGAGCAGCTTTCTGGCTGGCTGCTGTATGATTCTGACTTCTGTCCATCCACATCCTTGGGCCGGCTTTCCGAAGGCCTCTTGCCTATAGGTCAGACTCCATTACAAGGCCCAAGATCATGTCCTGTCCTGTTCTGTCCAATGTCCCCTTGGTGAACACTGCCTGCGATAGATAACCAGTTCTCAGAGCCTCATGGAGATTGCCGAGCAGTGGAGCCTCTGTAACGGGGCCAGGCATGCTTGCACACTGGCTGTGTTCTTATAGTTCCCCGATACCTTGCTATGTTCAACACATCTCAAGAACCTAACCACACTGGACTCGTGACGCTTGAGCTGTCCTGGATTCCAGTAATTGACCAAGGCAAAGCCAAAGGAACCAGAGTAGCAGTGGAGACCAGACCTCTCACTTTGTTTCTGGAAATATCTATAAGTCATAAACATGGGGACCCTTGGAGTCCTTGGCTCCGTAGTTTTAACTCTGTAGCCTGTCTTCCAGCTAGCACAGGCTTGTGGGAAACACTCAGTTAATCTCTGGAGACCTTGGGGATTTCAATGTTTGTGTCAACGGTCACATGACCCAGAACCCGTGTGTGTGTGTGTGTGTGTGTGTGTGTGTGTGTGTGTGTGTGTGCGCACACACACACACACACAAGGCCAGGAAGAGGAGAGAGGAATGCGGCAGTCCCAGCCCCAGGCCCTCAGCGGCGCTGGCGGGTGCCAGTGTGCCAGCAGGTGGTACAGGCTCAAGCTATAGGGACAACTTCAGGGGGCAGCACTCAATCCTCCAGACCCCAGGCCAGCCAGGAGGCTGCCCCTCGCTGCCTCTGCCTCCTCGGCACCCCCATGCCTATTGAAATGAAATTATTTTCTTTCTCTTGGGGAGGACGGGAGGCCCAGAAGTGTCCACGTGGCTTTAAGCGTGCGCTTGGGCTGAGCGAGTGTGCAAGGGTGTAGGAAGGGAGCGAGCTCCTGCCTCCCTCCTCGGCAGTCCCCTTTTGGGCTGCCAGCTTCTCTCTCTTCTCCTGGCAGCTCAGTTCCCCCACCCACCTGCCCTCCTACCTCGTGGACACATAAAGCTTCCACTAGCAGCCAGCAGGCAGTCCTGGTGACAGTACAGGCGGCGGGGTGGGGGGGTGGGGGGGGCGGGAGGGAGGAAGCCTGTCACCCTGGCTGGGCGGGGCCCAGGGTCTCACCCGGGAACATCTATGGAGTCCCGTGGGTGTCTTTCCTGAGGGGAACCCTTCACATGGTGGGAGGAGCTGCCTCTCTGCTGCAGGTGCACAGCATGGGAAGACCTTCAGCTTGGCCTGGGCACGAGAACTCGAAAATACCTCCTTCACTCTCTGCTTCCTGCCCTATATCTAGGGTGTCAAGAGAACCTGGACTTCAGTGGGGCAGACTCGGCCCTAGCTTGCCTCCAGCTTGCTGTAGAAACGGCTCCTGTGCTGAGCTACGTGCGTGAGGGTTAGAGAACGTCTCTGAGCCCTCGCTTCTCCCCAGGAGAGAGCATCAACAGCACCTCTGCCATGGGGTTTTAGCAGGGACATGTCTGTAAGGCACGTTAGACACGGCTGTGTGGGTGGAGAGAATGGCATGGGGTGCCGTGACATCTCAGTGGATAGTAAGGAAGCTCGACGTGGAGAGCAGACGTCCCCCTTGCTGCCTTCAGCCTAGAGGGAGAACCCTGGAAAGTCTGGCTTCCTGAAGCTCACAGCCCCGGCGCAGCTCTCCATGGTGTGTGTGTGTGTGTGTGTGTGTCCGTCCCTCTGTCCCTATGTGTGCATACCTGCACACACACAGTGGTGTTTTTCTGCAGGCCACCACTTCCTGAACACCCTCGTCAATTCATGCACATACATACACACAGATGTGTACACACACACACACACACACACACACACACACACACACACACA